AAAAAAAAAAAAAAAAAAAAAAAAAAAAAAGACCTTCATTGTTGGTGTTGGAGTCTCCCGCTACGGCACAGAGATGAACTGACGGATGGTATGGTAGGAGCATTATCTACAGTCACGGCTTCACTGTGGTGCAGTTTCCCTTCCCGGGCTTCCCCATTGGCAGAAGCATGTGGGCCATGATGTGGCCAATGCCAGGTGCATCTGCACATTGTAGTCAACAGGGACCCTGGGGCTAGGTCCCACTTGCACGAGTTAGAGATGGAGACCTTAGATAGCCGAGATCAAGGGCCGAAATCTCCTTATCCGTGCAAGTGGGACCTTGTCCCTGGTCTCGAATTCCAGCAGGGGTAGCGGGTGGGGCAGGGGCAGGGACGCCAATAGGCAGTCAATAAGACCTCTGGATACTGGGAACCACTTAAATAGGCAGTACATTAGGGCCTCGGGGTACCGGAGCACAATGGCTGGAAGCGCCAGCCAAAAACAAATTGAAACGGTACCCAGGGGGCCAAGTCCCACTTACCGGAATGATCGATTTTTGACCGCAGATTTGGAGGATCAACGACCAAAAATCAAGGATCACCGTAAGTGGGACTTGGCCCCGGGGCTTCAGCAAAAATTGGCGCACAGGGGCATTCGAGGTTCGGCATCCATGGCTGGGCTTGGGCCATACGCCGGCCGCGGTCCTTCCCCGCTAACACGCTGCAGCCTTAGGGGGTCGGCCAAGGGAAGGTCCGGTCATTGCTGAATGGCCGGGCCCGGTAACCCCGGTTCACTCGGCATGAAACTAAAGAATAAAAGAACAAAGAAAGGAAAAAAAAAAGATTCAAATACACATAAATTAAAAAAGAAATAAAACGAAAGGTAAAAACAAAGTCACGCGGCAGGGCGGGAGAGAGAGAGAGAGAGAGAGAGAGAGAGAGAGAGAGAGAGAGAGAGAGAGAGAGAGAGAGAGCTCAGCAACGGGAAAGCGGGAAGATTCATTCCCGTTTTCGATTTTTGAAGCGCGTGTGTGTGTGTGTGTGAGAGAGAGAGAGAGAGAGAGAGAGAGAGAGATCTTTCTCTCTCTCTCTCTCTCTCTCTCTCTCTCTCTCTCTCTCTCTCTCTCTCTCTCTCTCTCTTGCACGCGTGCGCACGTGCATGTGCATGTATTTTGAAAAACGAAAACGGGAATGAATCTTCCCGCTTTCGCGGGAAGCAGGAAGATCCATTCCCGTTTCAGAATAGACAATGGAAATGCCACGTGGACGAGGGAGAGAGAGAGAGGCAGCGGCCTGCACAGAGAGCGGCGAGGGAGAGAGGCAGCGGCCTGCACAGAGAGCGGCGGCGGCTTGCACGGAGGGAGAGAGAGAGAGGCAGGGGCCTGCACAGAGGGCCGCCGCAAACTCGCTGCCTCTCTCTCTCTCTCTCGTTTTGAAAAATGAAAACCCGTTTCAGAATAGACAATGGAAACGTGTGGGCGAGAGAGATAGGTAGATAGATAGATAGATAGATAGATAGAGAGAGAGAGAGAGAGAGAGAGAGAGAGAGAGAGAGAGAGAGAGAGAGAGAGAGAGAGACGTCCTCTC